CCCCCCCCCTTCGCAATCTATCACTTCGCAATCTATCAGGTCGGTCGCCGGATCACGGGCAAGCTGCTCGCGCGCGTCGAACCCAAGGCGGGCGTGGCAGGTGCTTGCTTTGGCTTGGAAGGCAACCCCTTGCGAGTGCTGAAACACGGACGAGTTCCCCCGAGAGTGGTGGATCGCCGTCACCGAAGGAAGAGCGAGACGCTCCGCCCATGGCATGGCATGCGCCTCCAGCCTCCAAATCGCCCACACGCGACCTCCTGCTCCCCCTCCTCATTCCAACACCACCACTACCTACCACCATCCCATTCCATCGACCCAGCCAAGTCTGGAATGCAGGTAGGCATCTATGCAGTAGAAACACCACCACCACCACCACCACCACCACCATCACCACCAGCGCCCATCTCGAGCCGCAACACACACACGGCGGGCCTACCATCACCTTCACCAACCCCCCTCCTCCTCCTCCTCCTCCTGACGCCCCGCCGCCACCCGACGAAACCCCGCCGCCTCGTACAGCGCCAGCGCCGCCCCGTTGGTCTCGTAGACGTGCGCGGTCAGGACGCAGCAGCAGCGCGAGGATGGGCCGGCCGCGTCGCGCGCCCAGCGGACGGCGTCGGCCAGGACGGCGGCCGCCAGGCCCCGACGGCGCGCGCCCGGTCGCGTCCAGACGGCGTTGACGGCCCAGTGCGCTTCCGCGACCTGTCTATGGGGGTCGGGGTCGGGGTCGGGGTCGGGGTCGAGCATCCTGAACAGCGTCAGCGACGACAGGACTTGTTTGCCGTCGTCGTCGTCGTCCTCCTCGGAAGAGGCGACAAAGGTGGTCGCGGCCGGGTTGTGGAGCCGCTGCAGCCACTGCGAGTCGTCGAATGCGGATTCGCGCGCGAGCGTCGAGCCGAATGCTGTGTATCCCGTCATGCCATGCCATGCCATGCCATGCCATGCCATGCATCATGCCGTCAGTCACGGGGCTTTTTTGTTCCTATTTCACCCCTTTCTTCTGCAGGTGCTCTAGCATTCCGCGTGTGATATGTAAAAAGAAAGACGCAAAGACGGCATCACGCAACCCTCGACAACGTACCCTGCGGGTCGAGCCGGAGAGACTCGAGCCTAAAAGGCTTATAGCTGCCGAGGTAGAACTCGTCGCCTTTGGTGTCCCGTGGGACAATGCTGATCTTCCACTGCATCGCAAGGCACAGATGGTCGGATCTGTTCAGATCTGTCAGATTTGACGTAGACGCAATTGCCCTGTGCGAGGGAGCTGAATTTATAAAAGGAAAATAGCCCATCACAGCTTCGGGTACGCGAGCCTGGGTCGCGGCCGGCTGACACTCACCATTCTCGTTGACTCACATTCGCAGCTATACAACAAGCAAGCCATAGATACCGGTCAAGTATTATTTGGCAGATCAATACCCAAGGCGCAAGAGGCCCCAAAACATTCCTTCTTGCTATGTGCGAGCTTAAAAATATCCCAGGCAAAAATGGACATGGCCTGATGAAATCGCAAAGAAAAAGACCGCATATGATAACCCCCAGACTTCCAATTCATTGCAAGACTAGCCAGAAGAAATCCCCCACTGACCCATTTCGTCGTAATCATCATGTAAAGCAAAAAAAAAAACACGGCTGGATATCGAGTCCCAGTCGCGGGACGAGAGCCTCGAAACGAGAAATATGAACCGAGAAAACAAAACAACCCCACCATTAGATTTTCCCCCACGCATTTCTTTTCTAGACCCAGAGCACATCAAAGGGCACCCATCACGCCGAGGCCGACCCCGACCACCAGGTGCGCCAGAGGCAGGCCGGGCGGCGGCGTGGGCCGGGCGCGCGCCGCGGCGTTCTCGCTGCCGACAAAGAAGACGCCGACGTTGCCCTGTGAGGTGCAGACGGTCGGCTGGATGTTGAAGCAGGCCGTGCTGCTGAGCGCGCCGCAGATGCTGGTGGCCGACTGGGGCCCGAGGTTCTGGTGGGTGCCCGCGGCGATGGTGGTGCCCGCGCCGTTACCGCCGGGCACGACAATGGTGACGCCGTTGCCGGCCCCTCCGCCCTGGCCCTGGAGCTGCGACGTGCACGTGTCGTAGTTGCGGCTGCACTGCGAGATGGCGGCCGAGCAGGCGCCCTGGTTGGGGAAGCTGGTCGTTATGTAGGCGAAGGGGAAGAACTGGTTGGGGACGAAGGACACGGGCGCCGTCGTGGTGGGCGGCCGGAACGTGGCCGGGGCGGTCCCGGTGCAGACAGCGCTATTTTCGGCAACCGTGGTCAGCGTTTTGCGGGCATACTAGGAGTGTTGCAGCCAAGGTATATAATATAGGTAGCACCGGTAGGCCGATGGGGAGGCCGGTGGGGAGGCCGGTGGGGAGGCTTTCTCACTTTGCGGGACAGCAGGCCGGCTGGTTGTTGTCGTCCAAGCGGCAGAGCTGGCTGTTGGGGCAACAGATGTTTGCAAACTGCGCGCCCATGCCGGCGCAGCTGTACGTGTTGGCGATGCAGCCCGCCTGCTGCCGCCGGTCGAGGGCCTTCACCGCCCCCAGGACGCCCGTCTCGACTGGCATGAACGGCAGCGTCGGGACCGGGTGGCTTGCGCCGGCGGCGGCGGCGGCGGCGGGCGACGACAGCGCCAGCCCGAGGGCCCCGAGGGCCACGCCCCGGACCGAGGCCATGGGCGAGTGTATTCGCATCCCCGGGCGTGGGCGACGACTGGTTTCGGCCAAGCCTCGAGCCTGTCCGTTTCCGCGCTATTCTTTGTGCTGAATGCGCCAACGCGACCGACAGCTGGTTTTTTTTTTTTTTTTTTTTTTTTTTTTCTTGCTTCTCCACGTCTCACAGCAGTAGCCCGTTTTCGGTCCCGATCGGTTCCTCGGCAAATCGAAATCGAACGCTGGAATGCCCGTTACCGACCAGCGTGTCCAGGTGATGGAGCAGGTGGAAGCTGATTGCCACCGCTGACGACGGCGGCTTGATTTGCACGACGACGACGACAAAGAGGCAGAAGACAAAGGTTGCACGAGCAGCCGGGAGCGCAGGCAGGATGGTACCTAGGCAGGGCCTGACCGACAGCCATTCGCTTGGGCGACCGCCATCCAATGAGGTCCGCCTGGGTCTGGCGGCAGGTGGGCTTTCCCGTTGGTCCAGCTACTACTGTTGTAGTAGTAGCGTCGAGTGGTTGGCCTGCCCGAGCCTGCAACCCCACCGCTGCACCCCAACGACCACCATTGACGCCGACCCCAGCCTCCTCGAATTGGCTGAGCTGCAGCCCACAGCCGACGCAGGTCCAGCTGGCAACGGGCCTTAGGTATGTTTTGGATGGGCTGTTTGACAAAAGCACTTCCGTGAGTATAACACATATCTGCCTAGGTGCCTAGGTTCCTAGATATTTGCATGGTATTCACTACTGATATTCTCCATCATCTGCTCCCAATCCCAACTGCGTCCAGCCAGTTTGGCGCATCGACTTTGCTGGAAAAAGGCCGAGGGTGATGTCATCCTCAGTCGGCACAGCAACGCCCAAACCGGAAGCTAGCTCAGGCGCCTTTCGGCGGGGTCTACCCCAGCAGCTGGCAGGGGTGATTGGTGATTGGCAACGAACGCTCGAGATGGGTTCACCAAGTTGGGTTCACCAAATCTGGCACCGTTTATCGGCCAGCCCCTGCCAGCCAAATCTCACAGCCTAGTTCCCATCGGTACCAATCAGCAAACGTAGCTCCGAGGGCAACATGGAACACATCAGCCATCATATCTCTGCTAAATGTCTTTCCCCATAGACAGGCGCTGGTTGGCGCTCCCACATCCAGCCTCCCCTTTAGAATCCACGGATATGCCCAAGTATCTGTTGGAGCCGCAGAACAGCTTTCGTTGTGGGCGGTGCCTCTCCAGGCTTCAAATCCTCCAGTTGCTGAACCTCCTCTTTTGCCTGCTGTACAAGGATTCCGAGATCCCCCCATACCTCCTCGTTGTATGCTGTCAGGACGCCCATCCACTGGTCCAACCACACCTTTTCGCCCTCTGGTCCATGTGGCAGTCCTAGTGCTCTCTGCGACTCTGCTGATTTGATGGCGTTTGCGCCGCCGGGAACTGCACCTGCGTCTGGCCTGGTAAAATCCGGTATGAAGTTGAGAATGTTGTCCCACTCAACCGATGACACCCGAGCCCCTGGCCCCGAGTCGAAAAGAGCCGAGCGCAATGCTGCGGCTTCAGTGGCCGACATGTTTTCCTCCATCACCAGGTCAGGCTCCGTCTCTGGGCGGGTCAAGAGGTCGATGACTTCCGTCCCATCACGAGCCTCCTGGTCGGCGATCGAGTTGGCTGCGACGGTGCATGTGCCGCCCTGAGGTTCCCCGTCGCCACCATGTGCCCTAGCCCACGCCGCGTCGAGTTCTGATTGTCCGGATGGTAAAGATACACTTGTACCGTCCAAAAATGCCGAGAACTCAGCCTCTGACTGCGCCGCGTGAACGTCGGCTTCTGTCGACCTGAAAGCTCCACTGCTGCTTGCCGTCGCCCATCTTGGCTGCGCACTCGCCGATGAGCCTTCGCCGTTATTCAGAAACTGCTGAGATCCCACCGCCTCAGCTTTAGTGCCGCCGACCGACGATAGTCGCGCCAGGTCAGAGGCCTCCGGCCTGTGGCTGAGGAGGGAGCGCGTCAGGTGTGCCGCTGAGTTGGCCAGTCGCGATGAGAAGTCAACATTGGTCGTCTCAGCGCCAGTCCCAGAGCCGTCTTCGTTCGTCTCGCCCCTTTCGCTGTTGCCAGAAGTGGCCTTTTCCTTCCCCTTGTTTGGGTCAGGGTGCGAGGGATGGCCAGACATGGTTTAGTGGTACGAGTATGATCACCAGATACGGATCTCGCTGCAAGTCGAATTGGCAACTCATTGACCCAGCCGCAGCGGCTTCAGAGCATTGCCACACCTTTGCCAGTTAGGCAAGAACCCCGGATAAGATCCGGGGGTAGAGTCAGGCGAGGAATCCTGGACGAGGAACAACAGGAGCGTACACTGCAAGAGTCCGACTGACTCGAGCGTATGGTAGATCTGAGCTGGAACAGCCTGTGAAGCAGACACCTTCACCCGTTCCCGAGAAAGTGACGGCAGGGCGCTGTGGGAGAAGCCGACCTCCAAGCTATTCGTCGAGATTTGACCTTCTCGAGCTTTCAGGGAGGTCCAAGCGGAAGCGGCCGTTTGAATCCCCTGTCCTTGGCGCTGTATGCCTCGGTCAATGCCCCTTACGGTAGGTGCGTGAAAAGCTCTTGCCGGTCGTCAAGTGAACATGGAAGCGAGATAGAGAAGGTGGCCGCAACAACGGGTTGCGAAGGAAGGACGGGCAATCAGTTGACAGCCATGGTCGTTGATGGTTGAACAAAGACGAGACCCCACCAATGATGGATCCGGGCGTCAGGTTTGGGCAGCAGGGCGGGCTTCAGTAGCCAATGGAGCGGCGCTTTTTTGTGGCACTGGCCACCTTTGTCGCTGGGTGAGGCAAATTCAATCGTGAGTGCGCTGGACTGGCTGGACTACAGCCAGTCGCCAACCGCCTGCCTGACGCAGCAGCACTGCGCCAAACACTAGGTAGACACCAACTAAACGCTGAACACCCATTACTCCGACCGCATTCAGCGCCCGCGCAGAGGCTGCAGCCAAAACCAAACCCAGCAGCCTCGACCGTCATTGTCAAACCCCCTGCACCCTCCCCGATACTGCCAACCCCGCAACACCACCACTTCCTGTTTGCCTGAACCGCTATTGCCCGATCACTTCCCCGTCTCCGTCCACCGTTGGCTGCACTCCTTTTTGACGTCCTGCTGCTGCACTTGTCCAGGCTGCGGATTGCTTTGCTTTGCCTTGCCGCTCGCTGCTTTTGCTGCTTTTGGGTGGTGCTGTGTTTGTTCTCAGGTCCAAGTGTGGGCCCCCGCCCCTCCCCAGAGCCTCCCCGTCTTTCGAGCTCCCCAACTGAAGCCTAACCTCTAACCTTGCCCGCCTACCGTGCTGGTCTGGTCTTGATTTCATCTGGCATCAGGCTCCACGCGCGGCACCCTGTCCCGAATCCTCCCTACCTACCATCTTGCCTACCTCCGCACGCCCGTGCCGTCGTCGTCGTCCTCACCAGCATTTTACCCGCCCGTCCTGCACTTCCGCGCCATCTCCGCCAGAGACGCCTGCTGCCGTTTGATCGCTCGACCTTGCCGCTCTCGAAATCGCTTGCCGCCAGACCGCCCAGCCCAGCCACGACGACCCAAGTGATCGCCTTCGTAGAGTGAGGGGGCACCTCGCCTACGTCAGACTGTCCGCAAAATGGTTGAGGCCGACACAAACTCGCCAACATGGAAATTTACACAGTACGTTGGCTCCTTGGTATATATATTTTTTTTCTGCCCGCCGCATCGCCGGCCGCGCCCCGGCAGAGCGCTTTGCATCACCGTCCTGCACCGCACTGCACCACGTCGCGTGCGCCGCCCCCCTTCGCTCCCCACCGACCGCTTGATATCTCAACTTTTATCCTTCTTCTTCCATCACACATTACGTGAGCGCTGTCGCTGACCGAACCTCTCTCTGCTAGGTGTTTTGGCGACAAGGGAGACGTTGAGGATATCACGGAAGGCAAGAAGGCACTCCCCCCACCACGCGGCCCAACCGGGTCATCGCCAGCCTGCTCTCCGCTCCTGATCCGCCGCCGCGTCCGGAATGATCCATTCCGGCCGAGGCGATTCTCACCTGTGGCCTCGAGCTGACCGGTCTGGGTTCATCTAGCCGATATCATCTCCACCGTCGAGTTCGACCACACGGGCAACTACTTGGCCACAGGCGATAAGGGAGGAAGAGTTGTGCTCTTCGAGCGCAACGAGACTGTGAGCACGAGCACTGAGCCTTCACCCTCCGGGCCGGCCCCCTTCCCTGGCCCTGGCTCTGGCGCGCAGCCGAACTCGTTGCTGACGGCCAGTGCAGAAGAAAACCTGTGAATACAAATCCCACACCGAATTCCAGTCTCACGAGCCAGAGTTCGACTACCTAAAGTCCCTTGAGATCGAGGAAAAGATCAACAAGATAAAGTGGTGCCGCCGGCAGAATGCCTCGCACTACCTGCTGTCCACCAACGACAAGACGATCAAGCTCTGGAAGGTGTTTGAGAAGTCCCTCAAGGTAGTAGCCGAGAACAACCTTTCGCATGACTTGACCCCGGCCAACATGGCCGGCGGCGGCGGCGCCCCGAGAGCGGCCCCCCAGTCTGCCTTCCGGAATGCGAACGACCTGAAGCTCCCCCGCCTCACCCACCACGACACCGTCGTCGCCGCCGTCCCCCGCCGCACCTACGCAAACGCGCATGCGTACCACATCAACAGCATATCCGTCAACAGCGACGGCGAGACTTTCATCAGCAGTGACGATCTTCGCATAAATCTGTGGAACCTGAACATCCAGGAGCAGAGCTTCAACATCGTGGATATCAAGCCTGCGAACATGGAAGAGCTGACAGAAGTCATCACTGCTGCCGAGTTTCACCCTATGAGCTGCAACTGGTTCATGTACGCGAGCTCCAAGGGCACCATCAAGCTGGCAGACATGCGCGAGAGCGCCCTCTGCGACCAGCACGCCAAGAGTATGTCCTGTCCTTGGCCGCCTTCCTCACGTGTGATTTCATACCGTGCCCACCCATGGCTATCAGCTGTGCCACATGGGATACTAACCACGTCTACCGCTTGGTGCTTGTGCGTGCAGTGTTCGAGCAAGAGGAGGACCCGTCATCCCGGTCGTTCTTCTCCGAGATCATCTCGTCGATATCCGACGTGCGCTTCTCGTACGACGGCCGATACATCCTGTCCCGAGACTACCTGACGGTCAAGATCTGGGATGTCAACATGGAGAGGCAACCAGTCAAGACGATTCCCATCCACGAGCACCTGCGGCCTCGGCTGTGCGACACGTACGAGAACGACAGCATATTCGACAAATTCGAGGTCGTTTTCTCGGGTGACGCGAAGAACGTGATGACTGGTAGCTACAACAACAACTTCATGATTTACCCTGCCGACCCTGAGAAGGAGGTCGAGGTTGTCCTTCAGGCGGACAAGTCTGCCTTCAAGGCGAAGAAGGTCGGCGTCCCCACGCCCATCAACTCGTCAACTAGCCCGACGGCCAACGGCGGGAAGAAGGGCGGGTCGCGCGCCGGCAGCCCGGCGGGCGGGCAGGGCCAGAGGATGAGGAAGGAGACGGACGCCGATCAGATCGACTTCAACAAGAAGATCCTGCATATGAGCTGGCATCCCTTTGAAGACAGCATCGCGATCGCTGCCACGAACAATGTGAGTCGTCTGCAAGACCCTCGGCGCCACTTTGTGGCTCGGAGTCTGGCCCCCGAACATGTTGTGTTTTTGTGTGCTCCAGGCTGACACAGGCATACACCCGCGTTCCAGCTCTTTGTCTTTTCTGCACTGTAGAAGGCTAGACGCTCTGGGGCCGGTGGCGCATTCGGGATATTGGGCGGAAATCGGGTCGTCTATTTCTTCCTTTTTCTATCTCTCTCTCTCTCTCGCTCTCTCGGAAATATACAGCCTCAGTCATCCGAAGAATAACAGGGGGAGGCCTCTTTTCTTTCCCGGCGCGCCCGGGTCCAGTGTGTTGAGTGGCGGGGTAGACGGGAGGGGGAGTTGGGGAGGTGTGACGATGGTCACCGCAAAAGAGCGTCTGCTGCCTCCGGGGACCTCTTTTTCATATCCACCCTCCCATAGTCGTCTCGTTAGAGCAGAGGCGGCGGTGGACGCAGCGGGGCCGGGCTGGGTGAGGCTGTGGCATAATTGGAGCTATGGCACCAATGTCCCTTGTCCAGGCTGCTGTAAGGTCTACCAAACGTGGAGTGGCAGAGTGCTCCGGCACCGACGTTTGGGTTCGGGAAAGTATGGGTGCTCGGCATCGGCATCAGGCATTGAACGGTCTAGACAGCAAAGGTGTCTGCTCAAGGAGTACGGCAAGACAAAATCAACAGACAATGTAGCTTGCCCACCAGGCATGTACTCGGGCTACGGCCGCTTCACTAGTATTGCGAATGAAATGGATGCGTGATTGTGATTCACACAAGGCCGGCCGGGATCGAGGCATCGGGACGCGCCCCGATGGGACCGGCTGGGGTGGACATCCAGGGTGTGTGTAAGTTGGATAAACTTCGCTCCCGAGCCTTGGCTGTGTGGGTGGACATGGCAGATGGTATGCAGGTAGTCTCATCGTCTAAAATTGGAACGGAAGAAATCAAAAACCTAGATCCGCCTATGCGAGTGGCGAGGCGGCATTTGCATGGCTTGCCCGCAGACAGATCTATAGAGGGCATGTCTGTCTATGTCTGACTTGTGTTGTTCCTGTCCATACTTGAAGCGAGAAATCGACGCCATCTTGGATACGTGGTGGCGTGGCGCCTGTCAGATATGTCGGAAGATGCGCGAGATTAAGCCGGCAGATTTCCAAAAAGCCACAGCGCCAGGGCCGAGCTCTTGGCTCCATCCCCCACCACACTAACCCTCCGGCCATAGAGTCCTCAGGTACCGGGAAAACAAGGTCTTGGTTCGGTATAAATGTCGGCTTGCCAATGGAGTGCCGACCACGGGCTGCTTCCCACTTTCTCGGCGTACGTGGTGGGAACTGGGAGGACTGGAGCATTGGGGCATATACAACGTCACATAGTAACAAACCCCCCGGGGTAGGTGGTATCACGAGCAGGGTAGTATTGCCGGAGCTGTCGCAAGGAGCATGTGCAGTGACTGCCCATTTCGGGTCGGACATGGTTGGAACTGGGGGTCATGACTTCGCAAGGCGCTTGCTTGCTTATGAGGAAGGTACTACTTATATATGACTTGGTCCTGAACCCTTGGTTTGATTCCTTGCCAGGTTGGACAAATCGGCCACGCCGTTCACACGAGTCGAACCCACACTGTCCCCGCCTGGACGGCTTATTGCAGCAGCGCACGAGCTAAGACGACCCGACATCAAATAATATTCCGACTCCTGCAGCACCGGCCACGCTCGACTTTGCTTGGGCTGCTCCTGCTCCATCCACCACCCACAGCCCAGCCTTGCCGACCGCTGCAGACCAGCCCGACTGTGACTCCAACTTGACCGACTAGCAAACCGCAGAAGAGGCCAGCCTCGATCTTTTCCAACACCGATCAACAGACAGCCTAGAACGGAGCAGAATACATCTAGCCTAGCTACGAAGGCATCGCTGCCGGCCTCGAAACCGAAACCGCAAAAGCACACCCATCCACATTCTCCCCCACGCCGCGCCGCTGCCGAGCTCTCGACACGCTGTGATTGGTCGCAGAACCCGTCAGCCCCCTGGCCACAGCAAGCCTGCGCGAAGGAAGCTCGCTTGGCCTCCCGCTCCCCTCCCCTCCCTCCCTCGCTGCGTTGCGCTGCGCTGTGCTGCTGCGCTACTAGGCACCGCCAAAATCCAAGCGACATAAGTCGGGCCAGAGTCGCCATCCTCCTCCATGACCAGCCACTCCAATGCCCGCCGCCGCCTCACTCTGCAAAAAACCCACCAAAATGCATTGCCCAAGGCTCCCCCCGCTCCGCGCGTAATAAACGCCGCGCCGCTCCTCGAGAAGGCCGAGAAATACGGAATCGACGACGACCGCCCCATGTATTCGCGCGCCATGGCCCTCGCGGGCCGCATCTTTATCGAGACTATCCCGCAATGGATCGCCGTCGGGGCTATGCTGAGCCTCATCTTTGGCGGCTGCTGCTCAAACGTCTTCGCGCTCGAGGCCATCATCAAGGTCGAGCCGGCCAGTGGTATGACCGGGGGTCCCGCGCCTCCCCCCTTTGGCGCCTGGCCTGCAGAGTACTTGTACTTGTACTTGATGCGCTGACCTTTTGGAATACAATCCGCCAACCCCGCGCGCGCGCTTCATAGGAACCCTCTTGACCTTTGTTCAGTTCCTCTTCGTCGCCGTCACCGGATACTTCTCGCAGTTCGATGCCAGCAGGCCGCCCTTCTTTGTCAAGCCCAACAAGGTGCCCCTCCGGCGCTGGATGATCAACATCGTGCTGTTCTTCAGCATCAACGTGCTCAATAACCACGCCTTCAGCTACGACATCTCGGTCCCTGTGCACATCATCCTGCGCTCCGGCGGCAGCATCACCACCATGCTGGCCGGCTTCCTCTACGGCAAGCGGTACCCGCGCATACAAGTCATCGCAGTAATCCTCCTGACCGTCGGCGTCGTGACGGCCGCCTGGGCCGACTCGCAGGCCAAGAGCGCCGCCCACACGGAGGAGGCGCACGCCGAGCGCAGCCGCAGCTTCAATGTCGGCCTGGCCATTCTCTTCACTGCCCAGATCTTGTCGGCCATCATGGGTCTCTACACGGAGGAGACGTACCGCCAGTACGGCCCGCAGTGGAAGGAGAACCTGTTCTACTCGCACATTCTGTCGCTGCCGCTCTTCGTTCCCTTTATGCCATCGCTGGCGCGGCAGTTCATGAGGTTAGCGGCCAGCGAACCGCTGTCGCTCCCGTTGGGGCGTCTCCTGGACTCGGATGCGGCGGCCAGCATGCCGGCGTATGTGCAGAAGAGTCTCGAGCGGATCCACATACCGAGCCAGCTGGCGTTCCTCGTGCTCAACGTCCTGACGCAATACGCGTGCATCCGTGGCGTGAACCTGCTGGCCGCCGCGTCGTCGGCCCTGACGGTGACTATTGTGCTCAACATCCGGAAGCTGGTCAGTCTGCTGCTGAGCATCTGGTTGTTCGGCAACCGGTTGGCGCCGGGTACGCTGGTCGGCGCCGTCGTCGTCTTCGCCTCGGGCGGGCTGTACTCGATGGGTGGCAAAACATACAGCAGCCCACCCGCGCGGCAGAGGGCGGCAAGTCAGATAAAGGCCGGCTAGTGGGAGCCTTACCGCAATTATTAGATTATCATTGGTCCGACAGCAACATTATCAACATGGGCGGCAGCTTCGAGGGCGAATGCTAGCTAGCCAATCTGCCCCATATCGAATGGCGTGAGCTGGCTGCGTGGTGGTATGTGTATGTATATACGGGCATGAATCATCCACCTCATCGCGAGGTTACAACACTCGTCCGGGTTGACAGCGTAGAGCCTCCCCGCGCAACGCGCACATGAATGTGTCTCGATTTTGCGGCCGAGGTGCTGGCTCTCTGCGTATAAAACCAGACCAGATCCCTGTTCACAGTCTCGGTAGCTTCCCCCCTGGGACAGCTCTACAGGCTCCACGCCCCGGCAAGCATTGCATCCAATATAGCGACGGCTACCGCGCTCGCACCTCGGCGCATACACACACCGGCTGCCGTCACACACATCGGGCAGGTGCACCAGCTGACCGGGCGCTGCAGCTCTGAGGGGCCCTGACTGCACCAGGGGCAGCATACGGGTCTTGGCGAGCAGCATCACCCGACCGTTCGGGTTGCCGCACAGGTACAAGTACCGGGCGGCTCCAGCTCGCAGGGATCAGCTACGCGGAGCTCGCCGCTGGGGCTGTCTGTGCCACCAGTCAAAGGTGCAGCCAAGAGAAAAAGCGCAACCTTAAAAATCCAGCTGCAGCAGCCGCCGCCGTTCGTCAGCGCTGTGGGACCGCCCACCCTGGCCGCCCGCCCCGGCCGCCCGCCCCAAAGCACCCCTCCCGGTGCTGATTGACAGCATTCCAGCAGAGGGCCAACATTTGGCTGTGAACGCAAACAACGTTCGAAGGGAGAGAAACTCCACAAGCCACGGCAACCTAACTAGTACGGATAGCAATCTACCCTCAGACAATTTGATCTTTTGCCGGCCCAGCTAACCAGTCACACCAAACGTGATAGAGGATAGATCCCCAAGAGTCTTTTTTAGGAATCCGCCGCTGGGATATATATATAAGTCTCAAATCTAAGCGCGCACCCCGCTCTGGACCACTGGTAGTTCACTGCTGAATAAGAGCGGGATTGGCTTTCGGCCTGGAGCGTTGGCACCATGGCTGGTGAGTCCGGTCTCTTTGTGCTGCTGCCCCTTCCGTCTGGTCATGCCTGGCCTCAAAAAAAGAGGACGGCCCCCAGCCGAAGCATGAGGTCAATCTGACGTGCCCTGCGCCTATCCGTACGCCGGCTGCGCAGACCGTGTTATCCCCAACGACCCGTTTTCGGGTCCCAACTCGCCCAAGCCCTCGTCTACACAGATGCCCTCGGACGAGTTTTCAGACGATGGCAACGAGGACGGCCTACCGCAGAATGGTGCTGGATCCGACAATGAATCAGAGGCGGGCGCCGGTCACGACGACGAGGCCGATCTGGAGATGGGCATGCTGGCTCGTGACAAGCAGAGGAGGACGACCTTCTATGACCCCGTTGCGGAGCGCCACATGTCGCAGACGGACGCCAAGCTCTTTTATCAGCGGAGCCAGCGCGAGCGGCAGAAGGCCGGCAGCAGCACCCCGTGGGGCGAGGGCAGCCCCGTCATCGCAGGACGCGCGGGCCCGTCCCTGGACGACCTGGCCCACGGGCCGCTGCCGCCGTCGCACGACCTGGCGTCGAGCCCCCTGCTGCACGGCATCGCCTCCGGTTCCGACGCGGGCACCAAGCGGGACGGTGGCTTCCTTCCCCTGGATGCCCTCCGCAGCCACGGCAGCCAGACCCAGGTCAACCAGCTTGCCGCGCAGCTGGCCGGGCTCGCGTCGACCAAGTCCTTTGGCCCTGAGGGCCGGACCGGCGGCAGCACCGCCAACCTCAACGTCCCGGTCGTGCCGGGGGTCAACGCGCCGGTCGGCATTGGTAGTACCACATTCACCGACGCCGACCCCCAGGTCACGGCCGAGCTGGCCTTGATATTCAAGAGCGTCAAGAGCATCCTCGACCTCCGGCACAAATATCTAGCCATCTCGCTGCAGCGGCAGGACGACAACCCCAAGGATGACCCGAACTGGAACATCTACCCGCCGCCCCCTGTGCCGGCCTGGATCGAGGCCCGCGATAGAGCCGCGGGCGAGGCGCAACAGGCAAACAGCGTGGGCAACAGCCTGGCAAACAGCATGGTCCTGGGCGCCGAGTCCGAGGCGTCCAAGCACGCCAGGAAACGCAAGCCGGGCCAGGAAATCGGTGGGGATTTTGTGCTGGAGGAGGCGCTTCCCGTGCCGGGCGCGTGCAGCATGAGCTTCCGACTTGATGGGAACAGCGTTTACCAAGTTTATGAAAACCCCGAGGCGGAGGAGGCCGAGGAGCCAACCTTGAAGGTCCCCACGATACGCGAGTTTTACATGGACCTTGACAAGATCCTGTCGGTGGCCGCCGACGGCCCGAGCAAGAGCTTCGCGTACCGGCGGCTCCAGTACCTCGAGGGCAAGTTCCGCCTGTACACGCTCCTCAACGACTACCAGGAGACGGCCGACAGCAAGCGGGTGCCGCACCGCGACTTCTACAACGTGAGGAAGGTGGACACGCACGTGCACCACTCGGCCTGCATGAACCAGAAGCACCTGCTGCGCTTCATAAAGAGCAAGATGAAGAAGTGCCCGGACGAGGTGGTGCTCTTCCGCGACGGCAAGCACCTCACGCTGGCCGAGGTGTTTGACAGCATCAACCTGACGGCCTACGACCTGAGCATCGACACGCTGGACATGCACGCGCACACGGACTCGTTCCACCGCTTCGACAAGTTCAACCTCAAGTACAACCCCGTCGGGGAGTCGCGCCTCCGCACCATCTTCCTCAAGACGGACAACACCATCCAGGGCCGGTACCTGGCCGAGATCACCAAGGAGGTGATTGCGGACCTGGAGTCGAGCAAGTACCAGATGGTCGAGTGGCGCATCTCCATCTACGGCCGGTCGCTCGACGAGTGGGACAAGCTGGCGGCGTGGGTGGTGGACAACAAGCTCTTCTCGCACAACGTGCGCTGGCTCATCCAGATCCCGCGCCTGTACGACGTGTACAAGGCCAGCGGCATGGAGAACATGGAGCAGGTGATCCAGAACCTCTTCCAGCCCCTGTTCGAGGTGTCGAGGGACCCGCAGAGCCACCCCAAGCTGCACATATTCCTGCAGCGCGTCATCGGCCTCGACAGCGTCGACGACGAGAGCAAGGTGGAGCGCCGGCTCTTCAAGAAGTTCCCCGTGCCCCGGGTCTGGGACTCCAAGCAGAACCCGCCCTACAGCTACTGGATCTACTACCTCTTCGCCAACATGTCGTCGCTCAACTTTCTGCGGCAGAAGCGCGGCTTCAACACGTTTGTGCTGCGGCCACACTGCGGCGAGGCCGGCGACAGCGAGCACCTGGCCGTGGCCGCGCTCTGCTCCCACAGCATCAGCCACGGGCTGCTGCTGCGCAAGGTGCCGATCCTGCAGTACGTCTACTACCTGGACCAGATCGGCATCGCCATGTCGCCGCTGAGCAACAACGCGCTCTTCCTGGCCTACGAGCGCAACCCGTTCCACCAGTACTTCAAGCGCGGCCTCAACGTGTCGCTCTCGACCGACGACCCGCTCCAGTTCGCCTTCACCAAGGAGCCCCTGATCGAGGAGTACGCCGTCGCCGCGCAGATCTACAAGCTCAGCTCGGTCGACATGTGCGAGCTCGCAAAGAACTCGGTCAAGCAGAGCGGCTACGAGCGGTCCGTCAAGGAGCAGTGGCTCGGCTCCGACTTTGACAAGCCGGGGGCTCTGGGCAATAGCATGGTCAAGACCAACGTGCCTGACAGGAGGGAGGAGTTTAGATACAAGACGCTGCTTGAGGAGCAGAACATGTAAGTTTTCCCCCACACGAGCAACCCGAAATCTTTTGTCCATGACGACGGCATGGCTGACCGTCGAGCAGGGTGGAAAAATATGCCTCATACACTGTAGACGCGAACGGCAAGCTTGTTGTCCCGGACGTCAGTGTGAAGGATACGCCGGCAGAGCCGGACAAGGTTTCGCCGTCCCTCAATGCGCCAGGCGGCGACCAGGGCCAGACCGACCAGGACGTGGTGGGAGGCAGCAGCAGCAGCGGCGGCGGCGGAGCGGCGGCAGCGATGGGCCCCGCCAAGAGCGTCCGCGAGGGGACCGCGGCGGCCCCTCCCTCCTGGCCGGCGGACGGGGCGGCCGAAGATCTGCACCTATCGGGCATCCAGCCGAGGTTCTTCCCGGGCGTCGTGGCTAGAAGCCAGACGCGGGGAGGGACCAGGCAAAGCTCGATGCACGAGTCTGACGATGCGGCATCGGCGGCGGCGGCGGCGGCGGCGGGAAGGACCCCGAGAGGTTAGGCAGAGGTGAAAAGCTATGGTTTCGGGGCTGATGAAGGGGTGACACGGCGATGCTATCTAAATCCTTGGGGGGACAATTTCAACCATCTGCGATGTGTTTTCGGAATGGATAGAGGACTGGATGGGGGGAAATGTAACGGACGGGCTGGGTAAGGTAGTCAGGTTAGTTTAGGGGTAGTTGGTGCGATGAGAAATAGGCAAATGCTTTGATTTGATATCTGCGAGGACAGACCAGAGACACATGCAAATCCGCAAATCTACAGGCAACCCCTCATCGATTTGCCCTTATTGTAAGATACGTATCCATTTCAGGCATGTCTGGCCAAGGTAATGGCATCGTGGCGCTCGTAAAAAGAACTGGAAATTGAGACTGGCGCTGGCGCTGGCAGCTTGGCCCAGTGCCGCAATCAAAATCCCACCCATGTCTGGCAACGTCACGGCCCACCGGCGCCCCCACAAAGGTCCAGAGCAGGGGATTAGCTAATCCAACCAACGTCGACCCGACCTTGGGTTGCCGTGCTCCAGCCGCCTTCGCTCTCCTTGCTTGATCAGAAAGGCAAGCCAGCCGAGCCCGACCCCAGCCACGGCGGGAGGAGAAAGCCCAGAACTTGGAGCGAGAGCGAGCGAGCCAAGTGCCTGCCCACACACAACCAGCCTCACAGGCCACAGACAGCCAGCCAGCACTTGCTTCGTGTTTGTGAAGCCGAAGCCAGCCAGTCAGGGCTGTCTGTGTTGGAAGACGCAAGCAAGCAAGCAAGCAGCAGCCAGGCGAGCCAGTAGCAACCGGCCCCCCCTCCATCGCCGTCGACCACCAAACACTACAATTCCAAAATCCTACACAAACCACCCACAACCACCCCAATCCAGCCTCGGTGCCTGCCCGATCGAACGCAGAGCGGATTCGAGACCCCCCCGTTCCAGACCGACGACACACGCCCGCGGCCCAACATGGGGTTCCTGGGCGTTTACCGCGCGCTCTACGACTACACTCCCCAGTCCGAGGGCGAGCTGGCCCTGGCCGAGGGTGACCTGCTCTACGTCCTCGAGAAGAGCACCGAGGATGCTTGGTGGAAGGCCAAGAAGCGCGCCGCCGAAGAGGAGGAGGAGGAGCCCGAGGGCCTGATACCAAACACGTACATCGAGGAGGTGAGTTAGCCAGTGGGCGAGTGAGCTAGCCGCATGCCCGTCGCCCCGTCTCCTCTCCTCGTGACTCGGCGCTTGGCCCCCCTCCCCCCGTCTCCGGCCCGTGACGCGCCAGTGGCTGACATGAATCCACCCCCCCGCGCGACTGCTAGGTCCAACCCAAAGCCCAGGCCAGGGCCCTGTTTGACTACACGAGGCAGTCGGACGAGGAGCTCACGTTTCCCGAGGACGCCCAGCTCGCCGTCTATGACCAATCCGATCCGGATTGGATCTTGGCCGGGTACGAAAATGACTTTGGCTTCGTGCCCTCCAACTACATCGAGGTCCAGGATGGCACCGCCGCGACCGTCGAATCAGAGCCTGCTGCTGCTGCCGCCACCGCCGCCGCCGCCTCCACCCCGCGCCCGCCAGCCCTACCCGCCAGGACTGCTGTTGAAGATTCGCCCATCCCGCCGCCAGCTGCCGAACCGGTCTCGCCCCCCGAGCCCAGCACCCCCGCCGGTCCGGCCGCGGCGCTGGCAGGCGTCCTGGCTGCCCGGTCCGCGTCTGCATCTGCTCCCACGACGAGGGCTCCTCCCTCGGTTTCCCTGCCCCCAAGGCCGCAGTACACCTCAGATGGTACCGACGACGAGGACGGGAGCTCGTCCCCGCCGCTGCCGACTAGGCCGCGGGAACAGTCGACGCGATCCATAGACGAGACCTCGATGAGGTCGCCGCCTCTGCCGCAGAGGGGCTCGTCGGTCCGCCGCGACGACGACTATGATCGGCCACACGAAGCGCCCCTGATGTCGCCCGGCGGGTTCCGCATGTATAACATCAACGAGATGATGTCGGTCATGGGCAAGAAGAAAAAGATGCCGACGACTCTGGGCATCAACCTCAAGACGGGCACGATTCTGATAGCGCCAGAACGGGCCCAGGATGGCCCCTCGCGCGAGTGGACGGCCGACAAGATGACACACCACTCGCGTGAGGGAAAGCACGTCTTCCTTGAGCTCGTGCGCCCCAGCAACAGTGTCGATTTTCATGCAGGCGCCAAGGATACGGCCGAGGAGATCGTGGCCGTCCTGGGCGAGCTCTCGGGCGCCGTCAAGGCGGAGGGACTCCGTGAGGTCATCATGGCCGGGACGTCGCCAGAGCCGCGCAAGGGCAAGGTGCTCTACGACTTTATGGCGCAGGGAGACGACGAGGTCACCGTCGCAGTGGACGACGAAGTCATCATCATCGACGACAGCAAGAGCGAGGACTGGTGGATGGTGAGGCGGGTCAAGAACGGCAAGGAGGGCGTCGTGCCCAGCAGCTACATCGAGGCTATGAGCCTGATACCACCAAGACCGGGCGGCGGCGCCGGCGCCGCGACTTCAGGCATTAACGCCGGGAAAAACACCGTGGCGCAGAACCGGCTGGAAGAGGAACGCTTGACCAAGGAGGCCGTCCGTGCGGCAATGAAGGACGAGTCAAGAAGACATTCAGAGGTAGGGCCTGGAGTGCGCTTGCCCGAGAGACGCAGCAGCCTGTTGGCTGGAGATGGGAGCAGTCGTGGTAACATTGGTCGTCAACAACAGCGGAGCAGCAGCAAGAGAGAGAATGGCTCCTCGAGCGCCCGTTCGGGGGGCAAGTCAAGTAGGTTCTCCTTTTCCCCACCCTCCCCCCTGCCTCCGCCTTCAATGCACATGCCCAATCGCCCAATCCCCCCGGCGCACAGAGCCAGCTGAGCTGACGGGCTCGATCCCAACCTACCCCCTTTGCGCTGTGCACAGAGCCGGATATGTCCAAGGTCAGGACGTGGACGGACCGTTCAAAATCGTTCAGCGTCGAGGCGCAGTACCTCGGCCTCAAGGAGGGTAAGATCAACCTCCACAAGCTGAACGGTGTCAAGATTGCCGTGCCCATTGCAAAAATGTCGGTCGAGGATCTGGAGTACGTCGAGCGGGTCGAGGGTATCTCACTAGACGAGGACAAGCCGCTGTCCAACGTCAAAAAGAACATCGAGGCCGGCCGCATGTCGCCGGCACTCACAGGGGCGAACAGGCTAGGAGCGTCCATCGAGGCCAAAAAGGAGTACGACTGGTTCCCCTTCTTCTTGGGATGCGACATCGCTCCAGGCCTGTGCGAGCGCTACGCCCAGGCCTTCACCAAAGACTCGATAGACGAGAGCGTGCCGCCCGACGTGGACGCCAGCATCCTGCGCAACCTCGGCCTGCGGGAAGGGGACATTATCAAGGTGATGCGCTTCCTGGATGGCAAGTTCGGCCGGAACCGCAAGAAGGGAGAAGAGGGCGATGGCGAAAGCCCCGGCGGGCTGTTCTCTGGTCCCGGTGGAGCTCTGAGGAACAACACAAGGCGCGGCCGGCCAGCGCCCGGGACGGCAACAAGCGATGTTGTTGACCCCAAGGCTTTCACCACGTCGGCCACTGGATCTAGCACGGGAGACAGCAAATCGGCAGCAGCGGCCCCGGTCATGACACCCATCTCGGCGACTGGAACCACGGCCAGCGGGTTTGACGACGATGCCTGGGACGTGAAGCCGTCGGCGAAGCGGCCAACACCCGAGCCGGCACCCGCGCCGCGTCAAGAAGCGCAGCCAACACCAGCGGCCAGCGCTCCCGCTCCTGCGCCAGCCCCTGCTCCCAAGCCGCTCATAGCCGCCCCGACCGGCGCCATGCAGGAGCTGTCGTTGCTCACTCAGCCCCTGCAGCCGGAAATGACAGGTGCGCCTCCCGTTCAGACCCCGGTCCAGACGGCTCCGGCGCCGCAACAGCCTGTCACACAACCACAACCCCAAGGGGCCACGCCTTTGTTCTTCTCGACGCTGGCCCAGCAGCCGACCGGCGTGCAGGCGTCGGCTCTCAACGGCCAGCAGCAGCAGCAGCAGCAGCAGCAGCAGCAACAGCAGCAGTCTTTTGCCCGAGCAAGGCCCATTGCGCCACAATACACACAGGGCCAAGGAGCACTATTGCCTCCGCCCCAGCCTGCCAGACCGCTCTCGGCTCCCCAGTCGGCTCAGCCCAGTGCCTTCACGCCACCCCCGCTGCTGCCACAGATGACGGGCCATGTGGCGCCTCCAGGACAGAGCCTGAACGAGATCAACCAAGCCAGGTTACAGCAGCAGTACGCCCAGCAGATGCAGCAGCAACAACAGCAAATGGGCATGGCCCCCATGCAAGGCTTCCAGGCTCAGCCCACGGGGCAACCAGGGCTCATGCCGCTCCAGACTGGCATGCAGCAGCCGCAGCAGGGCTTCCAGTACATGCAGCAACAGCCCACGGGCATGAACATGAACGGCATGTTGCCTCAGCAACACCCGCAGACTCAGTTCTCGCCCATGCAGATGCAGGCGACGGGCTTCCCTGGCGGATTCAACCAGCCGCAACAGCAACAGCAGCAGCAATCGCCCTTTGGCATGCCCGGAGCTGGTGTCAACAGCTTTCTGCCGCAGGCCATGGAGTCACAGAGGACAGGAATGCCGCCACAGCAGCAGCCGTTACAGCCTCAGGCCACGGGCCTGCACTTCACGCATGGATTCGGAAATGCCGCCATGGCGGCAGCACCCTTACAGCCGCAACCTACGGGACCGGCGCCTCCGGTGCGGTTCGGCGTGCAGCCCGAGGCCAGCAAGCTCGCGCCGCAGCCCACAGGGCGCCGGGCGAACCTCTCTGCCGCGACGCCGCAAAACCCCTTTGGATTCTAATCGATACGAGGAGGCGAAGACGGGCCGTGTTTTGTTTGACGGGCCGGCAGAGGTTTCTGATGGGGATGGCCCTCTGAGACACGTGCCAGCATGTGTCGAGTTGTCAGCTACCGTAGATGCCCGTCGGATCCTTCGCCACAGACAGCAGCCAATGCATCCACGGCACGCCCCTCACACTAGCAGCCATCTCCTTGGACCACCCCCGGAAAGGCCCGGCCATTCCATGACGCGCATAGGCTCCGCCAGCTGCGCCGTGTGCCGTCAGGGGGCTGTGTCAAGCATCTCGGTCAAGGTTTATCTGGTGGGGGCCGGTGGAGAGGACAGGACTGGGCTGGGCTGGGCTGGGCTGGATGGGGCCGCACAACAAGCTCGGGGCGATTTGTGAAGCAGCGAGGGAAAGGCCGGGCGGCCCGCCATCGGAGGAGGGAGTCCGGCTTTTGAGATCCCTCCTCTTGCATCAGTCCGTCGTGTTGGGAGGCCTGGCATAGTGGCTGGCTTGACTTGGGCGCTTGTGTCTGTCTCGGCTGGCTCAATGTCACTCTTGACACCCCGGGACTTTGTGTGCATGTACCTGCCGTGGAGGTTTTCGCCTCTCGGAAGGAAGGGGGACATCACCGCCGGCCACCATCGCCAACCCGTCTTGCTCCACGCTTCGATACAGGACACCCAAAGCAAACCGCCTTCACCTTCAAAGACCACCCCCTCTTCATCCTGTTGACTCTATCTGTATTGTTTTATTGCTATCAAGCTGTTCTGCCCTCTCACGTATACTCCGTTCTTTCCACCATCCTGCCTCCCCCGCTCACGAGGGAGCGTTGCTAAGCGAGTGAAGCTGCGGACTTTAATTGGACACGTACCACATAACGCATGTAGTTAGGTCTCGTTTTTTTTTTTTAAAATTTTATATCTCTAGCCTATCGATATCTTTTACTCGCCTATCTTCCTGCCTACGGATATCCCACCGCCCGTGTGTGACACCTTGACATCTGCTGGTTCTAGTCTGGAGATCCGATTGGCCCGCCCCTTGTGGACAGACGCAAAACAAAACGCTTGTGGGCGGGCAGCCGTCGACGACCCCTTGCCCTGAAGGAAAGATCCGGGAGGGTAGCGCGGTTCATGGAGCGTTGGGCTCCCAGTGATAACAGCGTCGTCCATGTATGGGGTATCTGACATAGTTTTGATCCTGCGCTTCGTTCATGTCCCCTGCCCTCCCTCCTTCCACATCCGTCCGTCCCATGTGCTCGGCCGAGACGGCTTGCAGCCCGCAGCGGTAAGCCGTTGATGCACGTCACTCTTCTTCTTCTTCTTCTTCTTTTCTTTTTTCCTAGGATTGGTAGACCTGATGTGCGAAAGTGGTATCATGTGTGATAAAGAATATTTCTCTCACTCTCGGTCTTATCCCAATATCTGACCGCGCGTGGGGACACAGGAGAGAGAAAAGACTCGCGGGCCGAGATAGGATGAAGCGCCCCATCACAACTGATTGGTCCGAGCCTGTTTCTTTTTTCCACTCCCTCTCCCGTCTCGACCGCACATGTGTGTCCGCCAAAAGCTGCCTCGCGCGGCATGGTGAACAAACTCTTTTTTTTTTCTTGTTCCTTTCCTCGTTTCCGTCCCGCCTCTTACACAGTCCATCTTCCGCACCTCCCCGAACGGACGAAACAACAGCATGTCGTCGGTCTCCCCCCCAGAAACGCAGCGTGACAGGATCCCCAGACGTCGACCGTTTGCCCTACTACTGGCCAGCCCGCCGAGACGAATGCGAGATGGGAAAAAAAGAGAGGTTGCTTGGGTACTTGGGTGAGCTGGCTAGTTCTGAATCGTCCCTATTCTTCAGCTGTCACCATCTCGGCGTCCTGTTTTGGGCCGTTTGGGACCAAAAGCTTGTCTTGGCGCTCCGGGAGGACTGCTGGCACGCCTTGGTCCCAATGCGCAAAGTTGGAGATCATGGCCGGGGGCTACTAGTCGGCCCTCCTCCCTCAGACTCTCGCGCGCGTGTGTGCGCGCATAGGGGGGAGGCGATGACGAAGCCGGCAGGTTGTGTGCGTATATAAAAGCACGAGCTGTTGCGCGCGCTCTCTGCTCGTCCGCCCGACGCTGAGATCACGACCGCCGTAGGTCCTGTTGTATAGACACTCCCCAAGTCCCCAGGTCTCTAGTCCATCGTCTTCCATCACTCAAGTGGCTGCTGTGCTGTGCATAATCGCCGCCGGTCTCTCCTTGACCTCGTCGCTCAGGTTTGACACCTTAACGATTACTCCACAAAACAACAAAACAATGCACACAAAGACAGCCCTCGTGAGCGCGCTGGCCGCGCTCGCGACGGCCACGGCGGCGGCACCGACGGGCGGGCTCTCCAGGAAGGCAGAGACCGCCGGTTCCGGGGCCAGCCTCGCCAACATCAAGCAGTAAGTGCATCCGGCTTGGCGGCTAGCCAGTGAGGGCAGGCAGGCTCCGACTCGAGACATTGCTGACATGGAAAAACTCGACGTAAAAAAAGGGCCGCAGCTCCAGCAGCCGGCGGCGGCGGGCCCGGCGATATCGCCGGTCTCCTCGGCAGGCTGACGGGCAGCAGGGGAGCCGCAAGTGCCGGAGCCGGTAGAGCTGGCGGGCTAGGATCGATCCTCGGCCTCCTCGGAGGTGCCGGAGCCGGCGGGGCCGGTGGCGCGGGCGCGGGCGGCGGCCTCGGAGACATCCTGGGTCTCCTAGGCGGGGCAGCCGGCGGCACGCCAGCAGCAAAGGACGTGGTTGAGACCAACAACAAAAAGGCGGCGGCGGCGGGCGGAGGGGGCGCTACTGGCGCAGGTGGCGGAGGCAAGGGCAAGGGCAAGGGCAAAGCGAAGGGGGGCGGGATTGCTGCCCTCTTGGGTGGTGCGGGCGGCGCGGGCGGTGGCGCCAACCCTTTGGCAGGTCTTCTCGCAGCAGGAGCCGGGGCGGGCGCCGGAGGAGGGTGCGGCAAGGGAAAGCCTGCTGCTCGCTCAGTTGTCGGCAGAGATGAGGTGGACGAGAGTGGTGATGATGACGACGAAGAGGTCGAGATCGAGTCCGACGACTAGGCGACATGGTGGATGGGGGCTGCCGCGCGTTTTCCGCCTTCTGAATGGCTCCTTCTCTTCCTCCCTGCCGAGTACTGATATCAACTCCCCGCGCCTGTAAATAAAACCCGTTGTATAGATATCCTCTCGTTCAGATGGGTTCCGTGAGTGTTATCCTGTAACCAGATATGAAAGCTGTAAAGTAGGTATAACCATTCTGGACGACTTCGGGATGAACAAGGATTTTTGGCCAAGGTATAACCTTGCATGGCGTGGTTATCCCCCTGTGGTGCAGGAAACCGAGAGAAAAGCATATGGGCGAGGCGCAGTGCAGGAGGTAACAGTCAAATAAGCAATCGACGAGCATTATATACATGATCTATAATCGCCATAACCAACCAATAGAAACCTAGAAACAGAAGGACACCAAAACTGGCGACAGGGACGGAGATTTGGGCCACATGACGACCCAAAGCAATCTCTGTGCCCGCGCGGGTCTGGGCGAGGACGCGGCGTGAAGCGCGACAGGGACCGAAAAATCAGGCTCGATACTCGACTACTGCATCTCGGCGAGGTCGCTCTCGATAGCAGGCACTGAGTCTAGCAGTTGTCGCTTGCGGAGCTCGTCAGCCTTCTGCTGCAGGCCCGTAGCGACGCCCTTGGGGGTGACGGCTGCCACCTTTTCCTTGGATTTCGGCGCATCCTTGGCCGGCTCGAAGCGCTTCTTGACAGCCTTGATCATCTTGAAGAACCAGTGGACGTTGAGCATGTTAAGCGTCATGTTGCTTGCCAAGTAGACGCCAGTAAGCCACATGGGGATCGGCCCGGCGTCCTGGGCGAACCTCATGATGTCGTCACCACCGTACGCGACGGAAGCGCTGTTGGCTGTCTGAGACGCCAATATGGCTGGGCCCGACTTCACGGCGTGCCACATATCCTTGTAGACCATGGCAGATTGGTAGTTGCCCCATACCAGGCGGCACGAGAAGAAGACGGTGATGAGGCAGATGCCGTTGTACAGCTGGGCCCTGGTCCCCGTCATCTCCAGCTTGTCCAAGAACCAGTGGATATTCAGAAAGGGAGTCGACAACTCATAAAGGATGAAGGTGGTCGCGTAGTAGTTGAGGACCGGCCTCTGTGAACGGCCGGTTAGCTTTGTCGACAAGGTGGCGACTGACGCAGGAGGGGAGAAGGGTCACACTCACAAAGCCAAACGAATAGACGGCCAGGGCGCTGCTGGCGTGGGCCAGAAGGCCGAGGCCGAAAACGTCGAGGTGAATGACGGTCACGATGAGATCCCAGACAAAGTAGCCGGCGGCCAAGCCCTGGATCATGCCGTGGGCGCCCGTGTAGCCCCAAACACGCTGCTCCCGGTCCATGTTCCAGCGCTCCTCGTCGGCGAACATAACCCAGACGGCCAGGACGTTGATGAGGCAGCTCTGGACCATGGACACGACGTGGGCGTCCCAGCTGACACGCTTGCCTCGGTCATGGAGGGGATAGTACTTTGGCCAGAGCTTCATCGAGATCCATGGCGAGACGACGAGCTGGACGAAGGTGTAGAGAAGAACGCCGGCAACAACCTCGTGGATGTGCAGCGGCAGCGTCGATAACGAGAGCTTCTCGGCCAGGGGCTCGACTGCCTTGCTCAGGGCGGGGATTATCGGTATGGGGAACGGATCTCGCATCTTGGCGATTCTGGTTGGGTGGCTGCTCGAGGCACCACTGCCAGCGAGGCCGGTACTATGTCGTCACCGAGGGGCTGTTCCCTCGTCGAGACGAGGGCCTCGAAATGAGGCAAAGAGCGGGACGGGACGCTGCTTGGCCCTTGCGATCGGCGGCTGGGCTGGGAAAATGCGGCGGGCAGGAGCGGCTTTGGGCAGTTTTGGCGTGGAAAAGTTCTGGTGGTGATTGTGCAGACACAGCAGTAAATGTTGTTTTTGTGGTGGCGGGCAGGGTCCAAAGTAAATTCATGAGGGCCTCAGCCAGCGTTGGTCCCTGTCACAGGGGTCGTCCCGCACGCTCACGGGCGCTAGACAGCCCAGACACCCGCCACGGGACTGGATTGGACGGCACGCTGAGCAAAGCAACGGCAAGTAATGACAGCCTGTAGGCCCCGCTTATTGACCGCCGTGGTGGCCAAGGCCAATGAGGGCCATCCCTGGACGATCGGGGCTCAACGCAAAACGGGCAGGCACGAGACTGTCGCGGAACCTCGTGATGGGTACATCAGCCTGCTGCCGGCTGTCTGTTGTCTGCGCCTGCCCGTCGCTGCCACGTGCTCCAATGTTGCTGCTCTGTGGCGTTTCTTTGAGATGCCAGTCAGGTTGCCGCAACAGTGTGCCATTTTTCTTGTCAAAAAAAATCGAGGCTCAAGGTTAAGATTCACAGCATCTTGGCTTGGTCCATGCGGGTACCTCTCTGGCCGACGCTACCGCCCCCCTGTCTAAGGACCGAATTTGTTGGGGAAGCTTTTTTATTGCCAGGGTTTCTTATCGTCGTCTATCGAGCTGGTTCACGCCCCGTATGCTGACAGCCCACCTCTTTACCATGCCGGGACCCACCGCAAAGGAGCAAGTCACGGGGCAGTGGAACGCCAGCTGAGCTGACAGCCTGCAGGGCAGTTCCAGCGTCAAAGGGTCAAGTGGCCAGCTGGAGAGCCTGCCTTCTGTCAACCAAGATCCCGCCATCGTCACGTGCGCGCCTGGCTGTCTCGCCCCTGATCACCACCACTGCCCACACCGGGGCGAGGAGACAGATCAGCACGGTCACTGGATTGCGAGAGGGAACCAGGATGCCCTGCTCGTAGACATGGCCGACCTCCTCTACGACCTCCTCGTGTCGGCGGCGCCGGGCCCCCCTGAATCTGAGCCCGGCCTCACATGGCCGGCCCCGGTAGCCGACCAGGCCTCGCTCGAGTACCTCGCCTCCCTGGCCGCCCAGCCCGTCTCGGCCCTGGATACCACGGAGCCGCAGGCACTTTCTCAGGCATCACACGGCCTCCTGCTGTCGCTACAGAAGCTCTCCAAGCGGTCGCACAAACCCATCATCGAGTCTGCTACTCACCATGCCGCGCTCGACTCCACCCTGCCAGTCCTGGCGGCCGGCACCGCGGAGCTCCGCAGCGCCATCCCCAAGCTCGACAACGAGGCCGTCCGCTTCTCTACCACGTACAACAAGGCGGGTGAGCACGAGCTCCTGGCCCGCAGGAGAAAGGCCCTGCTGCTGTCCAGGAACGTTGAGCGCCTGGTCGACGTGCTGGAGCTGCCGGCCCTGCTCTCATCTTCCATTTCGACCGCCCCAGTCAACTACTCGTCGGCCCTTGACCTCAACGGCCACATTCGTCGTCTCCACTCCCTGCACCCGGACTCGCCTCTTGTCTCGTCCGTGTCATCGCAAGCCGACGAGGCTATGCGCACCATGGCCTCGAACCTAATCTTGTCCCTGAAGGCGCCGGGCTTGAAGCTGGCCGCCTCGCTTCGCACCATCAGCTGGCTGCGCAGGGTTCTGCCTGACATCAAACCCGACCACGCCCACGACTCACAGGAGCGTGTCCTGGGTGCCCTCTTCCTGGTCTGCCGTCTGGCCATGCTGGTGACCATGCTCGAGGCCCTATCGCCCCTGCGCGACCTCGCCGACCAGGAGAGGGCCAAGCAGACCTCCTCTCTGCGGAACGGGGGCGCCTGGTCGGGCGGCCAGCAGACGGAAAAGTATCTCAAAAAGTACATTGAGATCTTCAGAGAGCAGAGTTTCGCCATTGTGTCCATGTACCGAAGTATATTTCCTGAGGCTGAGCCTTCATCTGCACCATCACAGCTGCAAAAGGAGCAGCAGCAGGACCTCCTCGAGCCGCTACCATCGCCGCTTGCCACGTTCCCGCTGCACCTAGTGGACATGCTTCTAGAGACATTGAGAACTTATCTGCCCACGGTGAAGGACCAGGGCTCGCGCGACAGTCTCCTGACCCAGGTGTTGTACTGCGCCGGCAGTCTGGGACGACTGGGAGGTGACTTTGGTCTGTTCCTCGCCAGCCTCGATGTCGGCGGCGGGGCAGAAGAGGAGTGGGTGCAGGTTGTCAAGCGGCACCGGCTCCTGGCCGGACGCTTGGAGTCTATTGTCGGGGCTGGAGACAACAAGGGAGGTAAATGAAGATTGCAGAAGCCATAAAATCGCATACCAAATACCTCGCAGCTGTTTGCAACGTCTGACTTGTTAGGTGGACGGGCGGCTCAGGGGCAACCGAATCTGCCTACCACCTCCCAACCAGCCATGTATTGGTACAGTGACGTGTAAAGCCAATCAGGTTCTCTCTAGCAATCCCTCACCTCTCTCTTTCTCTCTTCAGCCCACCAGCTCCAGCTCCCACCTCGCAGCCGGCCTTGGATTATCCATCGCTTTCCCTCACACTCATTTCCCTCAAGCCCACCAAAACAAAGCTACAGAGCCCACCCCCCGCTCGACAAGATGCTCTCCAACAAGGCCCTCTCCCTAGCCGCGCTGGTGGCAGCCGCCGCCACCACCCTAGCCTCGGCCTTCCCGCTCGCCATGACGAGCAGCAGCCCGCCCCTGCGGGCGCGCCAGTCGTGCGTCGAGGGGAAGGAGCGCGTCTGCTACGGCGTGTCGGGCGGCCAGTCGCAGGGGGCTCGACGCCGAGGAGCTCGAGTACATCGGCGCCTACCCCCGCTTCGTCGGCCAGAGCAACAAGGGCATAAACGCTTTTTTTACCATAACCGTTTCGGCCGACGGCGGCTGCCAGGAGTGGCCCTTGTCGCTGCCCGAAAGCCTTACCACTTTAGTGCTTGTTAAGCACGTATTAGCCCTTTCGTTAAGTCGTTCGTGCTTTACGAAAACATTGCCAGTACCATCGACGGGGGCGAAAAAGCTACCGAAAAGCAGCGCAGCGCGGCCTTAATTGGCTGCGCCGCCAACGGTGGGCAAATGGGGGTTGCCATTAACAACGCCAACCAAGCTTACAGCTCCCAAAAATTCAAAAATAATAAGGCGAAAGCGGACGGCATCGTAATTAAGCTGGTTAAAACGCTTTAAATGATAGCTGGCGGGAAGGTAATCAAAAATATTGAAAAAGGGAAAAGGGGATAACGAGGGGGTCGCTCAATGGTTAGGATAGGCCACATGCCCCATGTTATAATTTCTAATGTGATGGGGGGTTCCCTGGTCAGATACCAGCCCACAACACGGACCTTTTCTCCCAGCCTCTTCCTCCATCCGATGCAACCCGTTTACGCTTCTCGCGTTAGACCGACATCCAAAAGGTGCTCGCCCTCCTGCACCGCGGGCCCGTCAGGCGACGGCCGCTTATAAATCATCTCCCACGTCTCCCACTCGCTACCCCTGAGGTGCAGCTCCTCGTAGGTCTCAACGAGCAGGCTAGCACTAGCGTACGTCCAGCCGACGTCCTTAGCCGTCGAGCCCTCCACCTCTTCGTAAACGTCGTCACAATCGTCATTCTCATCCTCATCCTCCTCGTCCGAATCGGGCGGTATAGGCGGGTCCCCGGGCGCGGCGTTAATAACGACGATTTGGCCGCAAAGGAAGTAATTAAACCGGATTTCGGACCACGATACGCGTACGGCTTTGAGGCAAGCACGGTCAACGTAAACGCAGTACCGGAAGCGCGGCAGCTCTTCGACATCTGGGTTGTAAATTCCCTCGCCGTCGCGCTCGACCGAACGGGCTGCAACCCAGGCGCGAAAGCGCTCGCGCACCGCGTTTTTAGAAGCGCCGTTGAAGGCCTCGCGGTCCTCAACTACGGTACATTCGAGGTCCGGGCCCAAAATGTCCTGCTGCTTTCTCATCCGCAGGCAAAAAGCCGCGCTGGCTTTGACGACGGCTATAAAGGCGTCCCACAGGGCGTCGTTGTCGTAGGTGCAGCGGAAGATGACGAACCCCATTTGCGGTAGCCGGTGTGGCCACGGTTGTTGATTGTGTGACAGTAGCCCGTTGTTGTGAGGCCTGCCGCTCTTGCTGCGGCGGTCATGGTGGCGATGGTCATGGTAGCGACGAGCGGGTGCTTCGTAACACCAAAAAGTTAACAATCTATAAACTCCCTTCTATGCGCACACATCTCAGAACAAGGCGTGCAAGGCGAGCGAGCATTTTAACCCAGTAACGAAATTTCTGGCAGCTGTGCTCCCTTTGCTATGGGTGGCGGGGGCACTCCTGCGCCAGGAGTGGCTTGGATGCGCGGACAACGTCGTTATCAGCCTCAGTAATGACACAGGATGTTCCCGAGTTCCCGTCTCCTAGGACTGATGGTTCGTTGAAGTAGTTAGTGGAGAATCTAGAGAGAGTGGATGGAGATACAGCAGTAAAGCCGGGAAGGCGCATACGTCTAGTGGTCGGCCTTTGGCCCTTTGTTTGCACGTCTTGCTCATAGGGAGGCCGAAGCAGGAACTTGTGTTATAATTATCATCTAGTATAGAATGACGATGCAAACGATGCAAAATCCAGTCAGCGGCCAATTCAGCGCACTAAGAAATTTGCTCGGGTCCTTCGGGCCAACACAGCTTCTTTTCTAGCACTTGGCACTGGAAGGTCGCCCACAAGTCACTGCTGCTGACTCCATCCTGCCTATGTGACTTGGCGCCTGGACCTTGGGGCTAGGAATGCCGTCATCGAGGCAAGAGCTACCCACCCCAGCAAATCCTCGACCTCGTAGCTTTGCCATCTCACCCGCCTGCCCCTGAGAAGTCGTCGGGAGCGGTAGTGAGAGTGTCTTTGCTGCTGCTGCTGCTGCGCTCGCGCACTCTTCCTGTTTTTACTCTGCGCCATGGCTGGCGTCGGTGTCGGGCCCTATTGAAAAAAAAACATCGGCCCATCCCACCCCACCCATTCAAGCTCAACCCGCGCAGGGTTCTCTAAGAGTCAACACAGTGACGACAGCCCACCCCTCCAAGCCCACGGCCGTCCGGCCCAAGCTTACCGCCATGTCCAATGGCTCCGGCAAAGGCGGCTCCAAGTCTTGTGAGAGACTATCCCCTTCCCCTTACCGTCTCTCGAAAAACAATCTCGAGAAAAACTCCCCGCTGTCTTCTAACACAGCAACCCCAAAAATGCTCCAGCCTTCCACTTCGTAGCCGGCCTCGGGTCCGGCGTCCTCTCGGCCGCGCTCCTGCAGCCCATCGACCTACTCAAGACGCGCGTGCAGCAGTCGGGCCACCATAGCCTCGCCCGCTCGCTGGCCGAGATCCGCGCCTCCCCCGCCGGCCTGCGCGGGCTCTGGCGCGGCACCGTCCCGTCGGCCCTGCGCACCGGCTTCGGCTCCGCCCTGTACTTTAGCTCTCTCAACGCCATCCGCAAGGCCGCCGCCGTCAACATCCCCTTCCTAGCCGTCCCGCCGCCGTCGTCTGGCGCATCCCGTCAAGATGGCCGCCCACACGTTGCCGGCGGCAGCAGTAGCAGCAACGGCAGCAGGGGGGGCGACAGCAGCAGCAGCAGGCTGGTCAAGCTGTCCAACACGGGCAACATGCTGGCCGGGGCGACGGCGCGCGGGTTCGCGGGCTTCGTGCTGATGCCGCTGACGGTCATCAAGGTGCGGTACGAGTCGTCGCTGTACGCGTACCGCTCCATCGCCGGCGCCGGCCGCGACATTCTCCGCTCCGAAGGTCCCCGCGGCTTCTTCGCCGGCTTCGGCGCCACCGCCATCCGCGACGCCCCCTACGCGGGGCTCTACGTGCTGCTGTACGAGCAGGCCAAGCGCCGCCTGAGCGCGCTCTCCTCCTCCCGCTCCGTGGGTGACGACGACGGCGGCAACGACGACAAAAACAAAAATAACAAAAACAACAACAACAACAACAGGATGGGCGTCTCGCGCGCCGCCGCCGTCAACTTCAGCTCGGGCGTGCTGGCGGCCACGGCGTGCTCGGTCGTGTCCAACCCCTTCGACGCCGTCAAGACGCGCATCCAGCTGCAGCCGCACCGCTACCGCAACATGCTCCGCGCCGCCGCCACCATGCTGGCCGAGGAGGGCGCCCGCTCGCTCTGGGACGGCCTGGCCCTGCGCATGACCCGCAAGGCCCTGAGCTCCGCCCTCGCCTGGACCGTGTACGAGGAGCTCATCATGCGCGCCGAGCTCAGCTGGAGCGTGGGCGGCGGCGGAGGCGCCCAGGCCGAGAAGGCGCTGTGATGATGATTTCGCGCGGGTTATATGGAGGAGGTCTCACCAAAGAAAAGAAACCCCTCGTTGTTATCAATATGACATCTGTAACACCACCTCCACCCAACCGAATCCCCTCCCCATATTTCTTTATCGCGTCTGCACGAGGCGTGCGACTTGTGTGTATATACCCATCGAGAAGACTTGGAAAAGACGAAGAGAAGTTAAAGGGCGGTTCAGGAGCATCCTTAGACGCCAGCACTTGGGGACTTGCACAAGACTGGCGGGGGTTTTTTTTTTTGGGCTGCTCATATCCAGGTGCTTTTAATGTGTTTGATAGATCTCGGCTCATAAAAAATGGGGTTGATCGTCCAACTACCTATTCAAAACGCAAGGAACAAAATCATGGGACACAAGTGGCCCAAGGACCCTAGCCATACAGAGCACACCTTCCTTCCAAGAACAAAACAACGATCCACCCAGTGTCGTCGTAAGCGTAAACACTTTCCAGGAAAGACTGCGGGCTTGTGGCTGTAGAAATGAAGACTAAACAGAAAAAGGGGGACGGACAAAAACCAAATCCAGGGGGCAGTAAATGAGCAGGGAATTCGAAGTGATGGGGGGACGGGGGAAATCCTCCTTGTACAAGCCGAAGGGGTAGGTAAGGGTATTTCTTCATGTTTTCGTTACTTTTTTTTGTGTTTCTTCTTTTTTTCTTTGTTGAAGCCTCCCCCGCGCTTTGTCCCAACTCATATCCATATCCTTTTAGCGAGGCTGGGCACCAGCGAGGTACATGAGCAGGCTAGGCGACCGGGATCGCTCGCGCTTCTTCTTGACAAAGATAAAGTCATCCTTCTTGCGGTGGCGGTGGTCGTCAACCTTGATCACAACTTCCTGCTTCAGGCTATCGTGGTGGTGGACGCTGTCGTGGTGGTGGACGTCGTGGTGCATGGTCGTCGTGACGGCCGCCCGCCTGTCACGGATGATGCGGGTATGCCGCCAAAGCTGGTCTTGCTCCTCCTCGGGAACCCAGCGCTTGATGAGGAGGTAGTTGGGGTCCTATTGGTATGGGTTATGCCCAGTTAGTTCGCATTCCGCCATGATTGCGGCGGCACGGGCCACGCCCTGGCAGCAAGAGCAGTTGATTCGACGTACCTGTGGGTCAAGATCGTAGTCGATGCGGAAAGCGTTGAGAGTCTCGATGGAGAGATGGCGACGGGCCATGCGAGTGTAGGTGGCGCGTTCCTTGCCCTTGTCCCTTTCCTTTTCCTTGGGCTTCTCTTCCTCCTTGATCTTCTCCTTCTTCATGATGGCCTGGATGTGCTTCTCGTCAACTCCGGCGTTGATGAGGTCCTCTTGCAGGCGACGCTGGTACTCCTTGTCGGCAGCCTCCTTGGCCTCCCTCTCTCTCTTCTCCTTCTCGGCCAGCTCCGCCTTGTAGCGGGCGATGGCCTCCTGGTCGGCCTTTTCACGCCTCGCCTTCTCCTCGGCCGCCTTCTTCTCCCTCTCGAGGCGCTTGATCTCGTACTCGCGGTGGATGCGGTCCTCCTCGGCTTCACGCTGCGCCTTGTCGTCGGCTGATTTCTTCTCCCGCTCAAGACGCTGGATTTCGTACTCGCGACGGATGCGCTCTTCCTCGGACTGGCGCTGCTCCTTCCGGCGGATCTCATCGAGCTCCCTCTTGGCGCGGCGGAGCTCAAACTCCTCCTCAGTCTCCTTTTCACGCCGGCGCTCATCGCGCTCGCGATCGTGGGCGTCCTTCAACGCCTTGAGCTCCTCGGTTGTGCGCTGGTAGTCCCACTCATCCCTGCGTCGCACGAGCTCCATCTGGTTGGCCTCGCGCTCCTCGCGTTCGCGCTCGCGACTGCGCAACTCCTCGGCCTCCCGGCGCGCAAGCATCAGATCCATCTCCATGCGGGGGTTCATCTGAGGCTGCACCGGGGGACCGGGATGGGGACCGGGGACTACATGAATAGGCGGTGGCCCGGGGGCGAAGCGGTGCTGGCTCTGGTGGCGGCTGTGGTGGCTGCGGCGTGAGTAGGTGGTCGAGCGGTCCGACTCAGAGTCGGAAGACGAGCCGGAAAGGTTGGCATTGTCGTTGTTGTAGTTGTTGATAACGATCTGACTATTGCCGGTGGGAGGAGGGCGTGGCTGCGCCTGTTGCTGAGGTTGGGACGAAGGCTGAGGGTGACCCCGCGGCGAGGGAGGCGAGGGCCGCTCGCGCGACTTGGAGCGGGCGCGCACAAGAGTCTGTTCCGTCACGACCAGACGCTCCGGGCCCGGCTCCCAGTAGGGGCGAGGCGCGGCGTCGCGGGGCCGGGCCGTAACGTAGTTTACCGGGCCTCGCTGAGGCTGAGGGTGGCCCTGTCGCAATCTGATGTTGATCTCGTCATCCTCCTCGTCGCTGTAGTAGGAGTCGGGAGGACTGCGGCGACGAGGTGGGTATTCATCTCGATACCGAGACATGGTAGCAGTAGCGCGACTAGACTTGGGGGTAAGGGGCAAGCAAGCAACGCCCGAATCTCGAGTCTGTTTCCTGAATAAGTCAGCGCCGCTTCCCGTGGGATAGGCAGGCAGGTAGGCAGGCAGGCAGCATTCGACGACGGGGGAGCCAAGTTCTAGTGTGCGTATGTGCCGTTGGGCTTGTGAGAGGCTGGGGGATCAAAACATACTAGGACAACAAAGTGAGACCACGCTCGCCCACCAAGCTGGACGGTGTGTGGGTGTGTGAGTGTGTGTGGTGTGATGAATACTGTTGGGTTGGCAGAATAAGCTGAGGGGTTGGAGTTTCTTTTGCGTCTTGTTCGCAGAGCCGCCAAGTATGGAACAGAATGGAAGGAGGATGGTGTCAGCAGCTCGTGGGATGGGGAGAGGGGTTTTTTGTTTCCTCTCTGCTGGCCTGTCAGCTGGCGGGGCGGGCTGGGTGTGACCTTGGGTTTTATTATCAAACACAAGTGGGAGAGCGAGAAGGGGGCGGTAGGGCAGGGAGACAGGCGGCAACGTGATGGGAGCCTCAGCCAGGCACCCTCGCCCCCGCGGATGCCCCCCCTCCCGCTGCTGCAGCAGCGTCCACCCTGTGGCAGCGAGCGGCAGGTGGCTGGCGGGCGAGACCCCATGGCCGGCTCTCGTTGGCGGCGGTCTAGGGCGCGCGGCAAGTAAGGGAACCCAGGCCCGCCGTCGACTGGCAGCTGGAGGTTGCGGCGGCATGTGCAAGCAAGCAAGCCCCCGTGCGGGCTCCATCAGCAACGCTAACAGCCTGCGGTCCATGCAAGGCCTGCGCCCTACCGAAAATCTCCAAAACAGGCAAGCGACAGGCTGGAGCAGACTGACTGGGCCGACTTCGAGACTACCACGTCGTAAAACGAGCGGGCCCGCTCGGAGCCAGTCGGCCGGTCTCAAACTTCACTCCTGCGGGTTGGCTTGGCTGGCGCTGCTATTTGCAGTAGCGGCACCACCCCTCACCCCCTCACCCCCTCCATCTGACAGCGGGGACCGGCTGTGGTTGGCCAGGGTCCGCCCGGTGGGGACGCGTTGGGGGCCGGAAAACTGCGGTCAGCGGCTGGCCATTAATGCGCAGCACAATCCAGGCCACCACTTTGTGCAGCCCCGACCTGTGGCCGACGTGACCCGTAAATGTGACTCCGTGAGTGCCCGACGGTGTCGACCTCGCTCACCTCGACGAGGGGAGGCCATGTACAGACAAAGGCAGATCAGAAGAGGTGGCCCCCGACTCGCGAGGGTAAAGACGCAGGCACAAAAGAGCTTGGTGCTCCTCGTCGCACTTGGGCGACACTGACTGGGGTCATACCAGAGCCCGACCTTTCGCAGCCCAATGCTGACATGGCCTACCGACGGTCAACCCGCACGTCGCATGCACCTCAGTGGCCAGAGGCGACCATACACAGTATGTGGTGCTTCTGCATCCGCGTGCTTTGCGACAGTGCATGTCGTCGCCATCCCCGAACCGCAAACCCGAACCGCCAAATCCGCACGGGCAATTCCAGGGGATGGCGGTAGGGCTGGGAGTTAAAATGGAAGCCCTGGCGGCGGTCCGTCCGATTCTTCTTGCCGTTTCAGCTCCAGCTCCCACCCACGCTCCCACGGTGGGACAGAAAACGCTCCAGCCTAATTTGGGGGGTCGCGCTTCCAGCCTTGGCCGGCGGTTCGGCGTTCCCTGTAATGCCAAGTTTCGGGTAGGGCAGGAAACTGGCCCGCAGCGCCTCCCGCCGCCTTCGGTCTGGAGCGATACGCTTGTTGGTTATCAAATCCGTATGCGCGCGAGTGGGTAGTGCTGCCGTGTCATGGCACCGCCCAGCACGCAAGCGTCAATACGCGCCAGTCCAGACGCGCGAGAATCTTGGCTTGCCAGACCAAACAGCCCTGCTACCACCGGACACCACTGGGTACCGCTGGACACTGTCTGTCCACTGGACAGAGCCTGATCGACCGATCAAATGTCTGCCAAACAAGGTTGGTCGGGTCCCTGATTCCCGCCACTTTTGTCATGGGCCTTCTTTCCGTCAGGGCGATCAAGGGGCTCTCCATCAAGGGGCTCTCAGGACCTCGAGCTCCCCCGATCCAACAACGGTAAAAGCTTCCTTGTCACGATATCCCCACCGCTCGAACATTCCAGGGTCGCGTGCTTTTATTTTTAAGACAGGAGCCTCTCTGGATATGGGGCGGCTTCTTCAGCTCCCAGGTTTGGAGGAACAACGGCGGCTAGGATATGCACATGGATAGGGAAGAAGCCACCGGCAACCGACAAGTTTCGGCACTCGGCACGCGTCTGCTTGGTGGGTTGCAGCTGGCGGGGTGGGTTCGGACAGGGCGCTGCTCGCACGCTCGCTCGCACAGCCTCGACGCACACGCTGTTGTACACCCGCAGGTCCACCTCAGGCATCGCCACGACGCAGGATCTTGTCGATGTTGCTTTGGCTGTTCTTCGCCGTCGTCTCCAGGTAGTGAAGCCGCTTGCCCAGGCCCTCAATGTCCGTCTCGAGGTCCTTGACCTGCTTGCCAAGCTTGTCATTCATAGCCGAGACAGGGATTGACACAAACCTGCGCGGTGGCCAGGCCGTTCGACAGTCAGCATTCAGGCCCAAAGTTGGTCTGTGTTCCGGAAGAAGAAGAGAAGAAAAAAAACGAGCATGGAGAGAGAGAGAGGGAGGGGG